AAAGCTACGTCGAGGGACGTATCGTGAAAGCAGATGATACAAATTTAAGGATATGTCTGTGCCCTAATTTTCTCTCATATTTTGCTGTTATTTGTTTATGGCTGTTTGTCACTTTTAGCAATTGCTTTCTTGCAATTCAACGGACTAGCGGCATGGCATAGAGGAAGAGATAGGATAGGGGGCAGCAGGCAGCAGGCAGGCCGGGCGGCATCCGTGGGTATTGTTGGTGGGCACGGGCACGGGCGGGGCTGGCGACTTCTCGCGCCCCTTATACATCTGGGTGACGTCATGCGCTTTGGTTCTCTGGCCTTCTCGAGAGTACAAGCTGCTGACACCTTAAAGTTTTATATATATATGTTTTATGTTTAGTCTAAAGCTATTTAAGGTATCATCTGCTAAAAACGGAAAATCCGAAACAGGGGTTTTAAAACAAAATAACTAATAATTGTGTGTGGTTGTGTGCGCGCGAGTTGTTTCGAGGCTTTACTTGTATTATTAACTGTTGTTAAACATTGAGCCTCTCACAAGTTTTTGTGTGGGTATGGGCCGTGCCGCGGGCCGCGGGCCCCTGCTTCGTGGTGGTCAGTAACATTACTGCCCGGGGATGTTTTTGATCACCCCCCTCGCACACACTGCACACACACGCGGCCGCTGTGGGGGTGGGCGCGCGTGAACCTAGCGGTCTTCCCTCTGTCGCCGCGGGCGCCGTGTGGCTGGGCGTTCCCCGCCGCGGTCCGCAGCGTGCAGGGGGGCCACTGGGGGGGGGGGGGCAGGGTGAAAGCGAAACTCGACGCCCCAAGATGCGGCTGTTTTATTCACCTGATGAGCCGCAGTACATATATGTTGTCGTTCTTTCTGTACACATTGACATATGCAAGTGCAAAATCAAACACTGTTTTTTTTTTTCCTGATCCCGTACAACAAATCAGCGAACGCATATGGTCGCGTGTCGCGTGCGCGGGAAAAGAAGAGGTTTATAAAGATGCGCAAACACATTTGTGCTAAAGCAACCAACCATAGAAGAAAAAATAAATAAATACAGTACAGGGTGATTGAAAAACGCTACATGCCCCTACGAACTCGGATGAAAAAATAGAAGTGTGTTCCAAGAGGAGTCAATCACCATAAAAAAAAATAATCTAAGTTTCAAAAATTCATTATTCATCTCCTGCTACCGGATCATCAGGCTCATAGGACTGAAGCCTCCTACGGAGCTCCTTCATCTGCTCATTCTTTGATGTCAGCATTTTCTTCATGTTGGCGTAGGCTGCTGTCTGGCTGAACTTGCGCTCCAGTTCCTAGAAGATAGGAACACTTGTTTATACTTTCACAGGTACAAACCACAAAAGTAAAATCCCACCGTCAAATTTTATTGTATCTTTCAAACCACATCAGAGTGAGTTCATGTATACCTGTTCTGCCAGTTGAAGCTGTGCCTGAACTTGGAGTAACTTTCCACTTGTTTGGTCTAGTTGGGTCTGCACCTCCTGACGTCCTTCTTCAGTTTCTTTAAGACTGCTGCTCATTGCATTCAGTTTACTCTCAACCTACAAAATATTTTATTTGTGGAGACAAAACATACATTAAAAATGAAAAAATTGGATTTCATATAGTTAACTTACCTCCTCAATGTGATGGTTCTGCAGCTCTGTTTTTTGGGACATGCTAGCCTTACGGATTTGGTCCATCTCAACTTTAATTTCAGCAATATTTCTTTGCAGTAAGTTGCGCTCGTGTTCCACACGGTGGATCTATGAGTAATTTAGAATAGATGAGGCTCAATAGAGTTAGTTTTCATCAAACATCTGCAATATTTTATTCTTTACCTGTCCCTGGAGCTCATGTATTGTGCTCTGATTGCTTGTGACTTCCTGGCGCAATAGATCATTCTGCTCTCTTAAGAGCTGTACAGGTCCTTGAGAACTCTCATTTGACAAAGGTTCCAATTTATCTGGTCTTCGAGCAGCAAAGGGTTGATCTTCTCCTTTTTCCCAGGCTTTGACTTTTTCAAGAAGTTCTCTAGGGAAGACCATGATTTACAATCAAATCAAAACATAGCAAGGTGTAAATTACTTTTCAAAAAGTCATAAGGTGAGAATAATTACACATTCTGTAGCTTATCCAAATCAGCTTTCAGTTTAAGATGCCATTTTTCGGCTTGGGAGCATAGTTGTTGAATAAGTAAAACATTTATGTGCGCAAAGCTCATAAGCTCAGTTTCCATGTCACCACGAACTACATCACTGAGGCTAGTCAACATATCTCGTACTTCCTCTGCAGTGTATGTTGCCTCCATAAGTCTATGATAGATACAAAATTAATGTGATAAATTGGAAAAAACAAACTTGCTTTTATTAATACGGCACATTTGTACTCACCGGGAATCAATAACATCTTGAAATGCACATTGCATAGCTTTCATGTTCTGAGCGCGTTGATATCTTGCAAATTGCATGTATCGCTTTAACAATTCCTGGTGGTTTTCATTCAAACTCAAGTCATCCTGAAAAGCACACATCAAGTATTCATTTGAATTAACTCTTAAGCGATATGACATAATATGACAGTTTTAACTCCAACTAGTCCGAATTCAATGAAATTTTACTCACAATGTCACAAAATGTAATTAATTAATATCATAGTCAAATGCAGTTTCAAATAAGAGTTGGTGCTAAGGTGCAGAAGCAATGAAGTGCAAAACACACCAAAAAGAGAGGATGACAGTTACCATACTGGTGAACTAGCGAATACTTAGGTACGTTTCGAATTCAACAGATAACTTATCACAAAGGATTATTTCTGCTTTTCCTTGCTAGAGAATTTCCACCATCAGTTAGGACAGCAAGCAGAAGTCAAAACTCAAGAATTTGTTTACAAACAGACGACTGTCGTGTTTTCTGTCACGCATTTCTCCCGAGTGTTCCACCGTCAGTTGTTTGCGTCGTCTGCATATGTTTGTTTGGTATTTGGTTTGGCACATTAGGTTAGTTAGTGTGCCTGTCTTCCAGCCTGCCTTAAACTGAAATATTGTTGCATTTCCATTCTGAAATCATTTTCTGGCAACATTTATAAGCTTATTCATTCAATATGAATCGGATTTTCGGTAGAGGAAAACCTACAGAACCACCGCCCAACCTCACAGATTGCATAGCAGGGGTGAGTTATAATCCCAATAATGCAGTTAAATATTTTGATTTACTTGTGAAAAATGAACACTATCATCTAAAATGACGTTCATTTTTTTTTTAAATACCTGTACATTGCATAGGTTGACAGTCGAGCGGAATCTGTGGAAAAAAAAGTTCAGCGTTTAGAACAAGAGCTTGTAAAATATAAGGATCAGATGAAGAAAATGAGAGATGGACCTGCTAAAAATGCTGTTAAACAGAAGGCATTGCGTGTTTTGAAGCAAAAGAAAATGTAAACATTTCCGTCTGCTATGAATGTATTTTTGTTTATGTTCATTTTGTTTCTTGCCTCATTATTCCTGGTTACAGGTACGAACAACAGGCTGATAATTTGAGGCAGCAGTCTTTTAATATGGAACAAGCGAACTATGCAGCACAATCTCTGAAAGATACGCAAAGCACTGTAGTTGCTATGAAAGCTGGAGTAAAGCAGATGCAGAAAGAGTTCAAGAAAATTAATATAAGTGAAATTGATGTAAGGGATCTGTTGATTAAATTTTGCAGAATATAAGCTGTTTTGGTCAATTGGTTTCATATTTTGTTTGTACAAACTTTTTCAAAGGATCTTCAAGATGATATGGCTGATATGTTGGAAATATCAGAAGAAGTTCAGGATGCATTGGGTAGATCCTATGGCACTCCCGATATTGATGAATCAGAGCTCGAGGCGGAACTTGAGGCACTTGGTGATGAAATTGCTTTAGATGATGATACTTCATATTTAGATGATGCTGTAAAAGCTCCAAGCGCCCCTGACAAAGAACCAGGAGCTGACAGTGTTGATGTCACAACAAACAAGGTAAGAATACATTCCTTGAAAACATAAAAATTTGAATGTCAAGTTTTGTATTCCTCAGTAATAACTTTTACTTTCATAATTTCAGGATGGAATTCTGGTTGATGAATTTGGCCTACCAAAAATCCCTCAATCCTTGAAGAACTAACTTTTAATTATTCTGGATTACCCTACTGCCAAGTGCACATTTTTTTTAATAGTCATGGTACTCAAGAATGTCGGCACGCACACAAGACTACTTGCCTGTTCTTTATTTTAATTTAATTTTTTACCAAACTATGGTTAATGTGTAGGACCCAAAAGTTGTACTTTTGCTTGACCTACAGTAAGTGCTTTAAATTAATATGGTCAAAGAGCATAAAATTTATGTTACCAAAGGGAGTTGCCCACTCAATTTCTGTGCAGTAAATGCTATGTGATAATACATTAATTATATTTATAATTCGTATGCCATTTAAATTATGTACTGAAAGATACTCAGCTTTTGTAAGAGAAACACAGACCAAACACTGAAAAATCATCATGGTGTTTGTTCTTCTAAATTTTGTAAGTTACAGTAGTTTTATGTCTAAGAAATTCAATCTGTATTGTCTAATTATGTTTGATAAAAAAAAAACAAAAAAAACTGTTTTGCTTCTTAGCCAGATTCAGATCAGACTACTCATCTAAAAAGGCATAATTAGTGACTAAGTGTATGCATACTTATTGACAGATCTCCGTTAGCTAGTATTCTATGCATACATATACATTAGCCTCGTTCGGCAACTTGTGTCGTCATCTCATTAACTATTGTTGTTAGTACTACAATTAATTATACTGAAAACGATGAATAAACCGGAGCGGTCTCTAGCACGCGTGATTGTTTGTCCCATCCCCCTCCCTTACCGCGGAAGAAGCCCGGCAGTCTGGAACGTGGTGGCAGCACGCCCCAGGGGGCCCGGGGGGGTCAACTCGCCTGTGCGGAAGCTCCCACCGACCGCGACCTATGGAGACCGCACCCCGCACCGTTGAGTCTGGCTCAGCGCGGAGGAGGCCCAGGGCTGACTCAGAGGGGCAGACCCCTCCCCGTCAGAGCGCGCGGGGGAAGGGGGAGGGGACCACAACCCACAACTCATCCCCGAGACCTCCGTATAAAGCGCACTTCCCCCTGGCGGTGCTACTCAGTCGCGTGCCCCCGTCCCGTCAGCGCCACCATGACCACCAGCTCCACGACCACCATGATCGCCAGGGTGACCCGGGTCACCGGCGCACTGCTGCTGCTCGGGGTGGCAGCCGCCGTCGCCGGCAAGTCGAACCAACTGCGTGAGTATAGTGGACACACTGCGATCGGCGGAGGGGAGGTCACCCTTCAAAGTTTAGAACGGAAACGGGGTGAACGCGTTTAATTTTCCAAGAAAGTGCTCTCGCGAAATT